AGTATGTGAATTATGTCAATAAAACCATTAAAAATTTCCACCCAATTCATTAGCGCTAAGTACTTAAATAGTTCACCACTTGCCCAAATAATGCATCTTACCTTATATAAAATCAGCAGAACCCTGGTGGGGCAAGGTCAACAATTCGAACCTATTGGAAGCATCAGGCTTTCTGCTCCCTTAAAGAGATAGAGCCTCAGAAACCCAAAAGAGGTGGTTTTTGCTCTGACCCACAAAGTCATTATGAGTCAACTCCGGGACAATGAGTTTTATGTGAAATTATACCAAACCCAATCAAACCCATTGCCATCAAGTCAATTCCAACTCACCATGTCTTCCCTTAGGACCGAGTAGAACTGCCCCATTGGATTTCCAAGTCTATAGATGTTTATAGAAGCTGACTACCACCTCTTTCTCCTGTGGAGCAGCTGGTAGGTTTGAACCACTGTCCTTGCGCTTAGTTAGCACCCACTGTACCATGAGGGTTCCTCTTTCTCCACCAGGAAAGACTCTTTGCTTGGACCATTTGCATTTCCCTTGGAAAAAGTCTCCTGATAACCCCTGATTTGGTTATTTCTTTTAAGTCATCTTGTTCTCTCTCCCCGGCACCAACAATATTGAGTGAGTAGCAGTGGTTCTCAACCTTCTAATGCCAGACCTTTTAATATAGTTCCTCATGTTGTGGTGACCCCCCCAACCATAAAATTATTTCCATTGCTACTTCATAACCGTAATTTTGCTACTGTTATGAATCGAATGACCCCTGTGAAAGGGTCGGTCGACCCCCCCGCCCCCAAAGGGGTTGCAACCCAACAGGTTGAGAACCGCTGATCTAGAGGGACTGTATACTGAGCCAATGCAAACAAACCCTGCACATGGACAAGGACTACCTTGTCATTGGGCTGCGTGCCCGGGGTGGGGGGCAGTCAGCATGCATCTTTAGCATGTCTGCTCCCAAGTGACTACCTGAATCGTACTTTAAAATTTTATCTAATATATACCTTAATGTTGGGTATAAGGGCTTGAGTAGAAAGAAATGTTTTGGAAATGATGACAACATATGTACAAATGTGCTTGATACAATTGTATAGATTGTTATAAAAGCCCCAATAAAGTTATTTATTAAAAAAAAGTTGGGAATTTAATATCCCTAATACAGTTGTGGCATAGTGGCTACTTGTTGGGCTGTAAGTGCAAAGTCAGCAGTTCGAAACCACCAGCCGCTCCAAGGGAGGAAAATGAGGCTTTCCACCCCCATGAAGATTTAGAGTCTGGGACGCTCACACGGTTAGTTCTACTCTGTCCTCTAGGCTCCCTGTGAGTTGGAATGAGCTCGATGGCAGTGAGTGAATACAATAGGAGCAATCTCAAGTTTGGGTAACAGAAAGGAAAAATGCGCCGTTAATTTCATTAGACTTCTGTAGGTCCTTAAATATTTGTTATTTGGTTACAATGGAGTAGATTTGACTACAAGGGAGAACTGCCGAGAAACCATCGCCTCTCAACACTCCTTAGTGAGCCGTCTTCATTCATGTGCATCTATTTTTAAATAATTGTACCTAGCATTTTAAACAGAATCCTATCACCAGATGTAGAATCTGCTTACGTGGAGATTCAATACCGAGGTGGCATCAATGGTGAGGCAAGTTCCCACCACCCAGTCTCCTCAGCAGCCAGATCAGAGCTGCCTCGAAAACCCGGTTGGGCACAGTTCTACTCTGCACATACGGGGATGCCTTGAGTGGCAGTCAGCCTAGTGGCAGCTGAAAATAGAACCATGATTCTGTGGCCCCGGATGTTGGGAGTTTGTGCATCTCAATGAATCCGAAGCCAGGAAGTCTGGCTGGGTTGCCTCCTCAACCCTCGGGTCTGGCAACCCAGGAAATTCGCTCTAAAAGTTCAGCATTCCGAGTTCCATCCAGGCCAAGTCTCACATCGAGCAGCACATCTTTGCCAGGCACCATAAACCTCTAAAAGCTTAATAGCTTCCTTAGCAGCTATCTCGCTTCTCCATTTCCAGGCCTGAGCTCAGCACTGCCCTTCCCCCTTTGGAATGGCCTGGCCTCAGTTCCGTTTCCATCCCATCTATCCCTCCTCCACACTGCTGTCCCCCCATGACCTTTTTACAGCAAAATCGTGAGCTCATGTGCCCTTGGCATACTGTGTGGGCTCTCATCAGCTGTAGCAAAGGGCTGGCTGGACTTGCATTCTAGAGCCTGCCTGCTTCTGCTGTCACACACCCAGCAGGCCCCGATGACCCACAGGGCCACGGGTTCTGACTGGAAAGAACCTATGGCTCCTGGCTCTGTTGGCCAGCCCCATGACCCCTCAAGTTCCTGGCCATGGTGACTGTGCCCCACCCAGGACACCTTTCATTTTTATCCCAGGATGCACAGGGAAAGCAATGTTCACATGTCTCCAGTTGCCTTTATTAAGGTTTCTCATTGCAACACTGGGTCCTCTCTCAAGTCACTTGAGGACACAGGTTAGCTTAATTTCCCAGTATTCCCTGTGCAATTGGTGCCCATTGAGTCAGCCCTGACACACATTGCACAATGTCACAACCAACGCCTGGGCCTGAGGTATCCCCTGACCAGCTACAGATTGGATGACTGTGGTCCATAGGGTTTTTATTGGCTGATTTTTGGATGTGGATCACCAGGCCTTTCTTCCTAGTGCACCTTAGTCTGGCAGCCAAGCTGAAACTTGTTCAACATCCTACCAACATACATGCCCACGCGCTGTACTGGGTGGAGTCAAACTTGCATCTCCTGCATGGGGGCAAGAAGTACCTTGGCACCATCACTGCCCCCACAGCCCCGAGGACAGGCACCTAGTAAATCCAAATGAATCTAATGCAAGAAATCTGTTATCCATTTCTCCCAAAGAAAAATGATCCCATCCTCTTCTGTAATTCTTAACAGGAGGTGGTGGTGGTGGTGGTGGTGGTGAGAAGATAGGGCTACAGGGGGAGCAGGGGTCACCACTTTGTATAAAATGAAGTGAATGGAGCATTCATAGATGATATCAAAGCTCCGCTTTGAAACTCGGAATGGGATTTTCCATTGGGGATCCTTAGCACTGACTAATAACTCTTAAACTCACTGCCATTGATTTGATGCTGATCCATAGTGACCCTATTTTTTCCAAGAAAAAATAGCCCTGCCTTTGGTTTCAAACTGCTGACATTGTGGTTAGCAGCCCAACAACCATGGCACCACCAGGGCTCCTAGTGACTGGTTTATGAAAAAAGACCCAATAGGTTTGTTTTTTGGCAGATATCTGTGTTTCAAGGAGACCTGCTAGAGATGAATAAATGATGGTGGTGATGGGAGGAGGAGGAAATGAGCCATTTAGCAGCAGTGCACATGGTGAGGTCGTGGTGGCATGGCATTCTGGGAGAAAGCTCCTCCGGAGACCCAGAGAGAATGGGCAGGACTTGCAACTTTTCCCGAGGTGTTAGACTCACCGCCTGGAGTCTGGTTTTAACATGGACACAGAATCTATCTAAACGTTTTTATGGTCAGATGTTAAAATCTTTCTTTTTTTAACCTCTAGGCTTAAAAAAAAATAGTATTTTTCTACTTTCAGGACAGTCTTTCATCTCTGGGTGTTTGCCAGAAGGATTCTTTGCAGATACCTCTATTGATCTCTGCTGACCCTCTGTAGAGGGGCAGGAAAGGCCCTGTGGGCAAACCCTGCTGCTTTGGGCTCTGACCGCTTCACGGTTCCTGCGTTGCTTGGCCCACTCAGCCTCATCCTTTTGCTCATTCGGTTTTCTTCTTACTGTGAATATATATATGTACACACACACATCTAAAACAAAAGTGTATCGTGTTAACTACTTGTAAGTGTACATTTGAGAAGCGTTCACTGCCTTCACCAGGCAGTTGCCCCATCTCTACTATGCATTCGAAAAAGTTTTGATCACCCTCGAGGAGCCCTGGTGGCAATGCCAGTTAAATGTTGGATTGTTAACCACAGAGTGGTTCAAACCCACCAGCATCTCCAAGGAAGAAAGATGAGGCTGCCTGTCCCTGTAAAGATTTACACCTTCTAAAACCCTACGTAGGGATAATCTGAGTTGGAGTCAACTCGATGGGTGGGTTTCATTACCACCAGCAGGAACTCAACCTGTGAAGTCGAAACTGCCCATCTCCTTCACCCCCACCACCAATAAGCTTGTCTCTGTGTTTGCCTGTTACCTCGCGCATTCTTGCATCCACTATATTTAGAATGTCTGCTATGTACTAAGCACTATGCTGAGTGCAAAGGCAGGAATGGGGGGATGGGGAGGACAGGAATGGAGCGGTGTCCAATACTAGCTGAAATGACAGCGTTGCTGTAACTGTTAATTAAGTAGGTGTACTGTTAGTGGTCAGGGGTGTGTCCATTAGCAAGCGCCCCAGGTACTTGTGAAGTGTAGCAGGTAAGAGGAGCCCAGTTTCCTAAGTGTGCATGCTTATGTCAAATTGGTGAATGTAACCGTCTCCAAATGGAGCCAGCCAGCTGGAAGTGCTGCACCGCCATCCTCCCACTCGGCCACGGTGGGTGGGATTACGCCAGAGTTTCACTTCCTTCAAGGAAAGATAATGCTCACTCTGCCATCCCTGCAGAATTGCGGGGCAGCTAAGTACAGTACCAGCCTGGAGAGTGCTTGGAATGTTCAGGTCATTGTGACATCCCCCCAAAAGATGGAGCACACATGTTGTATAGCAACCACCACATCTCATGCTGGTGGGATTTTGGGCCAAGCAGGAAATACGTAGCAGGTCCTGTGCAAGGTGACAGGTGTCCTTGGCCGGGACTGAACTGTTTGCAGCCTGATGGAATCCCCGGGTGTGAATCTTAACTGCAGTGCCTGCGGTTCTGATCCCATTTGGGAACAGGTGGTCTGTTATGTTCATGAGGCAGGATGGGTGTAGGGCATCTTTTGAATCAATTTCTTTTGCGTTGTAAGAAAGATGAAACAGGCAATTGGGAGCAAAGACAGGAGAGAGATGCCAGGTCACGTGAAGCTCTCCCAGGAGAGCGCCTTGATTGCCTTCTTCCTGCGTGATCCCCAAAAGTGCATTGGCCACAGCCTCGGTCTGGTACTTGGGTTCTATGACTTCATGGAAGTCATCTTTCCTTCGCCTTAAAAGCAAAAAGCATTTCAAAATAAGCCTTCCTTTTGCCACCCTGAATATTCTCTAAAAGAACCATGGATTCCAAATACGCGTCTGAGCATCTTGGTGCATGAGTGTGGCAGTTGCCTGCCCGACACGAACTAGACTGTGTTATCAGATGTTTTTATTTGGGGAAATGATCATGGCAAAGAAGTTGTGTGTGTGATTTCACTCATAACAAAGAGTGAGCAGCGCCCCACTTTTATCATGTAGAACAATGACTCTGAGGTCTACTAGTTTGGTCTGACGAGGAATCCTCAATGTTTTGTTTTCTTTCTATTTTCAGGGATGATTCTGGCCCAGAAGACAACATCTGGAAGGGCATCCTCTCTGTCATTTTTTTCTTTCTCATCATCAGCGTGTTAGCTTTTCCCAATGGTAAGTGGTCATGGCACCCGGCACATGGCTTCTGTGCTTTGGGCTCTCCTGGCGTTTGTCAGATAGGCCGAGTAAGAAAGACAGAGGCTGAGTTTCGTGTAGTAGCCAGCGTCACACAGGCTCTGGAAGATCAGGCTGCCGGTCCTGTGGCTCCCCAGCTCTGCGACCCTGCCGAGTTCCCGGGCGCTTGGTGCCTCGGTTTGTGATCTGTAAAATGGCTTCACGGTAGGTCCTGCTGCAAGGGCTAGCTGAATGTGAATGCATGCTGATGGCTTTGAACAGGGACCGACAGACTGGCAGCTCTCAGTAAGTGTCAGCTACTACCCTGGCTGCTGTTTTTATTATCAGTTGAGTAATGAAATACTCCATTACTGCTGAGTTACACCTTCTTTTCACTAAGGACGAGGTCAGCGCTGTAGTAAGTATTACTTAAGTCGTTTGTTGTCTCAAGTGATCTCTGATCACAGTGAACTCTTTTAAATCGTTATGCATTCAGGATATAATTCCTTTCAGAGTGCGTGGGGCAAACAACAAGAATTACTGGGAGTTTTCGCTCCCCTCGTCGTGATAGTTAGGCAAAGCCTCTTTTTTTTTTTTTTTGAAAACCAAGTTTGGGTTTCTGCTGTCCTAAAAATCCATGACTTTCTCCTTTAGTTGTCACTTTAGTTTGTCCATAGTCCCGCTCAGTGCTTCCTCCCTAGAATATTCGGTGCCTGTTCTGTGTTATCACTCCTCATGCTCTGTACGCCAGTTAGTGTACATTGATGCTGTTTCGAAATTATTCTTCAGTCTACTGATGAACGGCGGTCTACAGCCCCCACTCAGCTTTTAAATATCATGCTTTAAAACATGCATTTCTCGATGATTTATAAATTACTGATTATTTTTTTAAATTTTCGTATTTTACACCATCTGCGGGGTTCACAAGGGCGGGAGGGAGGGGACAAAAAGAGCTGATAGCAAGGGCTTAAGTAGAAAGAAAATGTGTTGGAAATGATGATGGCAACATATGTACAAATGTACTTGATATAATTGATGCCCGGATTGTTATAAGAGCTGTAAGAGCCCCCAATAAAATGATTTATTAAAATTTAAAACAATTTTAATAAATAAACAACATGCATTTCTCCTACCCCTTCCCATACAGTGTAGAAGATCCTCATCGGTAATAGCTTCAGTTCACGATAAAAGACACTGATGGATGCTTGAAACGTTATCTTAGCACGGCCTTCAGACTTCCAAGATGGCGGCAGTAGAACTTTGTTCTCTGTGCTGACTTACATAGCACAGTGCTTGCCAGGGGGTCGCGTTTGCTGGTAGTCTAAGCGGCAGGAAAGAACCCTTCAGTAAGAACACCCTGGCTCTTGAGGCCCCGAGGGAAGGAGTCTCTCGATGGCCGGACGATCTGGGTTGGTTCCCTGAACTCTTCCATTGGTCTGGCTTTCACAGCCCACCTTTTCAGTGACATTTCTTTCCGTAAGCGTTGTCTGCCCCTGCTTGAGGAGTGTAGGCTCTGACACTGTCGCCACCGGGCCGTGAAGGTGCATGTGATGAGATGGATGGGTGCAGAATGATTTCCTACTGACCCTGCTATAGAATGGGTTTCCTAGGAAGAGCTGGCAGGGTCAAAATAGCTGTAGACTTCTTTCTGCAAATAAGAGTCGCTCTTGGTCAACTCTTCTTTCCCTCCCACCTCTTAGCAGAGATTCGAAGGGCCGTATGGGGAGGATACAGCCCACCTCCTCCAGTGTGGCTCTGCAGAGGGGGTAGCCAGTTGCAGCATGAAACCCAGTCCCCATGCCTGGTCCTTGTGAAGGCTCGGACTGGTGGCCTGAGCTCAGACCCCAACATTAGGCTGACTGCCCCCAAAGTCCCAGGGGCAGGTGCTAGGAATTGGAAAAGGGGAGGAGGTGACTATTCAGGTAGCAGACGGCTTGCTCTCCTCCCCAGCCTTCAAGTCTTTGTGCCCTTGTGTCCTCAAGAGTGTCTGCTGAGTGCTTCTTGAGCCCCACCTGCAGCCATGACCGTGGTTGGTCTTTGCCCTCCCTTCCTGCTTCTTTCCCGTCCCGTCCCGTCTCCTCCTGACCTATCTTCCCTCCTCATCCCCTGAATAAACTTGTATCAAAGCACAGTTCAGGCTCAGGTAACTGCTCATTCCAAAGGGTATCAGGTGCAGTCTTTTAACTCTTAAGCTTCCCTTGGCTATGTTAATTTATTGCCGAGTTCTTAGTTTATTTTTGGTGGTGGTGCTTTTGCTTTTGGCTGTTTTGATGATATATTATTTTTTTTGTTATCCCTGTTGAGAAATTCACATAACAGAACCGGTTCAACAGTTTGGACCTGGTCGTTTCAGTGACATTGATGACTTCTTCAGGCGCAACCCCTCCCCAGCCTTCTTTTCCAACGCGCCCTCCTTCCTGAACATACGCTCACTGCTCCCGCTGTTTTCAATCTCTTCTTTCAAGAGTTCCCATATGGTTCTTAAAAGAACACCGTATGTATTCATCTGATAGGTGTGGTGCTGCCTTTATGAACCAATGTTACTGGAATTTTTGCCCTATCACCAATCAATGCTGTTTGTGTAAACAGTGTTCAGTCACGTAGGAGTTCAATCTGTCCAGGTCACTAGACCCATGGATTTCAGGCCTACACTTGTATCATCTCCTTTTCTCAACAGTGATTTAAATTCCATCCCATTGGCTAAATGTATGACTCTCTCAGTAGAATGACCTTCAGCTGCAGGAGGATGACTGATAATGTTCTCTTAACATAAAATGACAATGATGTCTCTAAGGTGAACCAGAGATACAGAGGATCCATAGATAGACAAATGAGTTTGGGGCTCATACGTCATTCTGGCCCCAGACTAAGAACAAATAGTTCTGTGGAACGGCCCTGCTTGATGCTTGCCCTCACAAAGAGACCACTGAAGGTCTGGGTGCTTCAGCAAAAGAGCACAGTGCTTGTGTTAGTCTGGGTACTTTAGAGAAACAAATCCACAGCAACTCATATATAAGAGAGAGTTTTATATAAAGGTTTAACTGCACATCAAGAAAACATCCCAACCCAGTGCTGGCCAAGCCCACAAGCCCAACATTAACCCATTAACCCATATGTCCGATACCAATCCACAAAGTCCTTCTCCATCTCACAAAACACGCAATGACACCGACTGCAGGAGGAAAGCTGAGTCAGGGAATGTGTAAGCATCTCAGCGCTGGCAGGGGTCTCCACACAGCTGCTCCAGCACCCGGGGCTGCATCGGGGTAGGTCCATGTGGCTTCTCCTCAGGGATGTCTTGCAGGAAGTGAGCCTTGCCAGCTAAAGCAGGGAACTGGCTAAGGCAGCTGCACCCTGGTGCGACCATCAGAAAGCAAGAGACCTGAGAACTAGAAAGGCGAGGGTCACTGAGCCATTTATCCCTCTGCCCTTCAATGAACCCCACATGTGTTTATCTGCCAGGTTGGCACAGTAAACTAACTACCTCAGTGCTCCAGGCAGTCGTGTTTACTAGGTAAGCTAAAGTCTTGTTTGATTTTAAAAAGAATTCCGGGGGATGTATTTGGTTAGAGTTCTCTGCTTATCTCAGGGAAATAGTTTTAGGGATTTGTCTAGCTGCTCTGGGTTCTTTGAGAATTTGAACTTCTGCTCTACGTGTCCCTTTTGATGAATATCCTTCTGTAGAATTTGTGGTCAACATGTCCAGTAGTTGTAGCAGGGCACTATCCAGTCAATCTGTTTAATCTCTCCATGGATTTTGGGCCTATACTTTGATCATCTCCTTTTCTCAACAGTGTTTTAAGATAGGGGGAACATTGCCACATGTTCCATTTTTTCCTCCTATTCTTGACTCCCCTCCCTGCTGCTGCTGCTCCAGGAAAATACAGCCCCATTGTTTTGCTTTGGATGGCTGCTTGCAGACCTCAGGACCTACCCCTGGAGCTTCTGGAGGTAGATCAGACACACTCAACATGTTGCTTAGCCTCTTAACTAGTTGTCCATGAAACCTTCCATCTCTGACCCCACAGACCAGATCTCACGAGGTCTTGGGTTGCCCATTAGCAGCCTCAGCTGCTGCCCTTCTGTGGGTGGTGGCGTCTTTGCCAGTTCAACTCTCGAGAGGTAGACAACCTGTTGACCGTATTTACATGACCCGGCTGTGCAACCCTCCCTTAAATCAATGTGATTCTTGTATGACTGGAAACCGAGATGTGGTGCTCCGTGTACATGCGGTTACTTCTTCGTGTCTTGTAAAGTTCCTCCTTTTGTGTGCTTGTTCCTTTCCTATTTCGGAGTCCAGAGCCACCGCGGAAGTCAGTCAGGATTCCAGAAGGTTGGTCTTGGTGGGTCGTCACTCAGAGTCGTGCCATCAGTGACGCTCTGGCAGGAGCTGCCTTCTGGGGCTTGTCTGCAGATGTCGTCTGATGAGGCCCAAGGCCCTGAGTGTCGGGATTACCTTCCCATCTTCAGTGCCTCCTGCTCCTTTCTAAGATTCCCCAATGAAGTCCTCCTCTCGCAGCGTCCACTGCGCCTGCTCCGCCTCTCCTGGGGGGCTGTGCTCCTGGCTTCCTTTTGTGCTTTTCTCCACCTCCGGCGTGGGTGATCCCTGAGAAGGGCAGGGAGGAGCCATGAGACAAGTGCTCCAGCAGCCTGCTCAGCGTCCTGACACCTGTGGGGGTGGGGCAGTTCATCACAGGAGGGCCCCCAGCTCCCTCTTGTCAGCTTGGTGTCACTACCCTGCCTTCCAGCATTATCTTTTACTCGGAGAGTTGTTGCCCTGGTCACACTTTCCATGAACTCTGTTGGGTTGGGTTTTGGTCTCTCTTCCTGGGTGACGTGTTTCCCTCACCCTTCAGTCCTCTTCCATACGTCGCCTGTACCTAGCAGGCTTGTGATCTTGCCAAAGGGGCGTGGTGGAGGTGTCTCCCTGCCTTGTTGCCCATGAGCTGATGGGTCTGACAGTGGCTAGCAGACGGAGCTGAGCCCCGCCCTTCTCATTT